TGGAATTGTAGACTTTAGTTGCAGATATGGATGTCAGCTGCAGAGGTGGTGGATTGATGCCTTGCAATTTCACTGGCCGTCCATTCACCTTGAATTCAAGAGTTTTAAGTTGCCAATCACACTGCATTGGACTGTGGCGCTGCAACCAATCAAAACCCAGGATAGTGTCATAGGGGTGCATATCCAATACTATCATATCAACAACCAGTGTGTGACCCTGACAATACCATTCCAATTGCTTGACCATTTTATCAGCCACTATCCACTCACCATTTGCAAGTTTCACTCTTCAAGGTGACATAGGCACAGTTGGTAGGCCAACTAGTTGGGTGAACTGGGCACTTACAAAGCTATGAGAACTGCCACTATCTAATAAAGTAAGCATAATCTTATTCTTGACCCTGGTTTCCAATTTAATACTGTTGCTTGTATCACTGCTCGTCAATGCATTGAGGGACAATGGACAAAATTGGTCTGGTAAAGCATCCTTGATAGCTAATTGATTAAGAACATCATCATTGAGTTCTCTATCCAAGTCATTGACCACAAGAGCATTGTTGTGTGGTTTGGTTCTCTTGGAGCAGACCTCATTATGTCCTAGTTCAAATTTCTCCCCATAGGTGTAGCACAACCCATTGGCCTTCCTGTAGTCCCTCAGCTGCCTATCCCTCCATATAGTACTAGAAGCTGGGTTTGGCTTGGTCTCAGTCCTGTGTTGTGTGTTTTGTTTGGTAAGTATAGGAGCCTTCTGGTACTTGTATTTCCCTCTACCAAGCACCTTTTGCTGAATTCTTGCTATAATAGCAGCTCTGTGTACAGTTGTTGGTACCTGGGGCTCAACCACTGCCCTGATTTCATCTTTTAGTCCACTGACATAATGGGAGGTGAAGAAAAGGTCATCATAGTGACAACTATGCATAGTGATATCAAACTGCAATTGCTCAAACTTGGTAGTATAATCCTCCACAGTGCTTGACTGCCTGAGATCTATCAATTCAGTGAGAGCATTTCTATAATCATTAGCTCCAAATTGTTGTTCCACAGCCAAGCAAAAGGTTAGCCAAGAGATCTTAGTATGTGTCTGTTTATAGGCCTGGTACCACTTGGAAGCATTGCCCTCTAGATGCATTGTGGCAGAAGACACCAAAAGTCTCTCAGGCACATTATAGATAGAGAAATAATTGCAGCAATTGTCAATCCATATCTTTGTATGACTGCCATCAAACTTGGGAAAGAGCATTTTAGGCAGAGCATGATGAGGTACCCCTTCTCCCTTGTCAGGCTCAATTTTGGACCTGTGAGACTTGGACTGCTCAGGTTTCTTAATCCCCTTGTCCTTGGCAAACATGTTCTGGAAATGTTCTTCTTCATCTTCGTACACTAGGGAAGATAAACTATGACTGATAGATCTGTTCTCCTCTTCAAATTACCACAATGTCAGTTGAGCCATTGCCTGCCCATTAGCTCTGACTTGCTGAGCAATGAATTGTTGATCTGCAGAGCACTTGTCAACTTTAGCGGCGTTCAACTCAATTTGAGTTTTCATCTCCTGCTAGACAATACCCATATCAGTCATACGATTGAACAAGGGCGTACCCAGTGCAGATAGCTCCCGCTCTATATGGGGTCTGGGGAAGGGTGTTAGTGGCAAGCCTTACCCTCGCCTGTGCAATGCGAGGAGACCACGACTCGAACCCGGGACCTTTTGGTCACAGGCGGTAAGACTCTACTGCTTGCATACGATTGAATAAGAGATCAAAATGGTCCATCACTTGGTCCCATTTGGACTGGTCATCATCAGCGCTCTTAGTCATCTGATCCAATAGATTTTGTGTTTGCTTCGATGGTTTAGGATTGGAAGCCTTAGACGGAGCCGTGACTAAAACTGGTGAAGCAACAGGTTTAGACACACCTCCCCTATTGTCTACTCCACACAACAACTAATCACCGCCGTCTAGAAGTGAGGCTCAACCGAGGAATTTTGCATGGGAACAGGTGCCCCGCAACCCAAGTCGATGGATACTTCCCCTTCCGAACGCCACCGCACCGCAATTGAACCAGTTTGCTATGGAATTTTACACGAGAACAATCGCCTCGCAACCCTCGAAGACTGATTCAAGCGTGCTAGAATGAAATCGAGTGAGAGGTTTGAGAAATTCTCACAAATGGTTCATGCCACCGAACCAAATTTGTTGATGTAGTCCTCCAGTCGAGAATCATGCCATAGAGGATGGAATTGCCAACGAGCTGCTGGTGATTGCGCCTGCTCAAAGTCGATTGTTGATGAAGAGAACCCGTTGCAGTGCCGCCACACTGATGTAGTGTAGGAACTGCGCCGAATCCATGTAGCTATGGTGGAGGTGGGGTGGATGGATGGTAAGTTGGTGGATCTTGGGATAGACGAATCCGACACCGCTAGCTGACCCGATTCAACCAAAGGAAGGACCTACGGCACCTCTCGCCCACACCGCAGGGATGCAGGATTGAGATCAACCCACCGAACGGAATTACGAATCGATGATCGAAGCTAAGCAGAATCAAGAAACGTGGCCGAGGATAGACTGTCTCTGATACCACTATAACACCCGTGGCCGCCAGCATCAAGCCGTTGATGTGAGCACTATGAGAGGCACAGATCGGGGGAGAAGACGCCGCAAGGAAAGCCCCTGCCTTAGCGTGTTCATGTTGTACTCAAAGTTCCAAAAAGCGGTATTAAGCGGCTGCTTAAGCGCGCTGTAGCGCTACGTGGGAGGCTGCCGCTTCGCTTTGGGCTATAAGCGGCCCCTAAGCGGCGCCTGGCGCTTTAGTGGACGCGGACGAGCACGAAGCCGCTGAGGTGGAGAAAGGCGCCATGAAGCCTGCGCTCATGACCGCTCTCGAGCCAGCCGACCAGCCGAGGAAAAGGCGGCAGCAGGGAAAGAAAGTAGTGGGAGATGGATGCACGCACCGTGTAGAAGTTCCAATCGGGCACGCGCAGTGCGGAACCCAATTCGGGGCATGGGAGAGGAGGGGATAAAAGTAGAAGAGACTTCCCTCCGCTGCCCACCGACCGACACGCCCGCAAACCGACGTGGGACGCCCGTCGATGCCAGACCGACGCTCGACGTCCGCCGACTGTTGATTCGAGTCGCCGATTGAGGAGGTCGAGCTCGTCGGTCTCTTCCCCAAGTTTGACGTCTCTTCCCCAAGGTCGGGCTCAAGCTGCCCCCATCTCTGGTGTCGTCCTCTCGATTCTCTTCCCCACGCTCGGCAAGGTGAGCTCCTCTGCCTCTGCTTGACTTCTTCACTATCTGCTCCTCTCTCCTCTGCTTCTCTGTTCTCCACTGTAGTTCTCCCTTCCCTTATCAATTTATCAGTTGTGTTGTACTGTCATGCTCATGAGTGGGCTGCAATGATGTATCTTTTAATTTGGAACTAAGTAGGACCTGAAAGTATGGTTTATGAACTTCAGATGCAATGTTATGTTCTTATGAACTAAGTAGTAGTGTTCTTGCCATTACTATTCACCTTATCTATTTTTAAATATTTAATCATGAGGTATATTTTTTGTTTTATGAACCTAATCAACATTTGATGTTTCCCATATCTGTGACTGTTAGGAACATTACAACATGAAACCAACAATTCTTCGAGTTTGTACTATACAAGTCCAACAATTGCTCAGCTCTACAAGTCTAGGAATAAGATCAAATAAGGTATGTTTTTATTTATACTTCTCAAGTTCACAGCCTATTACATGAATCCGATTTTCTACAGTACAAAACGCTTAAGCGACGCTTTGAACGCTTAAGCAACTTAAGCTCTAAGCGACGGGTCACCGTTCGCTTAGCGCTTAGCGCTTTTTTGAACTTTGGTTTTACTTTCCTTATTCGATAAGATGTTCGCTTACAATGTCTAGGCATATGTATGCTAGAAAGACTCTGGCCTTGGGCCCACGTTACAGACACCGAGTAAAAACGTAAATAATGAAAATATGCCAAGCTATTAGGAAGACGCCTCCACCGATGTTCTCCTGCTCAATGTTCGCTGTGTCACCTGTGACAGTCAGCCATAACCAACCGTGTCGCTCGTATGCTCTAGCGAGGGACATGGATGTCTCTTTGTCCTTAGGGTTCTATAGCTCAACGTCCATCTTCAGCAGTTCCATCAGTCCTGCTGTGTAGATGTTGACTACAAGCTCGCTAAGGGGTCCCGCACGTGCCACGTATGCGAGGAAGCGCTTAGTGTAGTCATCAATGGGCTTATCTTGCACAACACTGCTAGCTTGCCGAGGGGGTTGCGCCGCGTTGGGGGACCGAAGTGCTCGTTAACACCACAAGCGAAGTTGCCCCAGTGATAGATCACCTTGTCCTGAGCTAGGCACATGTACCACATCTTTTTGTTTTCGGTGTTCCATTGTCCCCTAAAGAATTTCTCACATCGGTTAAGAGACTACAGCGACTTATCCTTGTTGTCGTAGGTGGGGAAGGTTGGCCTGTGGCAGCGTGGCTATAGCACCAGGAAGTCCAACCCAGATGCCTCATTCGTTGGTGGTGGCATGGCGAACAGATTGTTTGTCACCTCCTGGGTTATATTTGGGAGGCCAAAAGATGATGAGTTGTTTGCCTTCTCCTGGAAGAAGGCAAGGTTGAAGTCTTCCGTAACGCTCTTTGCCTAGGGCTCGAGATCCTTGGACCTTGGTGGCGCGTTCGCACTCCTTGGCCGCAGAAGCGGCAGCATCTTTGGTGGACTTAGTGCCGCCTTGCACAATGGAGACGAGACGCGTGTCGATGTTGTCCCAGCAGCTTTGAAGCTCATTGAAGTATTTGTTGGAGTCGATGATGAGTTTTCTCAAGTGGTGCCTTAATGTCGGCGTCATTCAAAGTGGTGGTGTTGTTACCGTCCATGGATACCTGGTCTGAGGATACTAGATGTGATAGGTCTTCTGAGGATACTAGATGTGATAGGTCTATATTGGTAGGTGGTAGGATGTGTGGATTGTTGGGTAAGGAGGTAGGAGGATGGAGGATAGGAATTTGATGGGCGGCTTATGGTCCCGTGCACAAGGGGAGGCCAGTGACCTAGGGCTCATGCAGTGCAGGAGCAGGTCAGAGGGCAGGCGCATGGGAGCTAGGATGCCAGCAAGCTTGAGGAATAATAATCCTCTATTTCTTGCTTGATCCACATGATTACGTGTCCCCTATAATTATACTCCCTATGCTAGTGGTAGAATCCTTATAGATTTGGACTCTCCTTTTTTTCTAAACAAGCTCTATCTTTTCTAATCTAAGTTTATTCTTTTGTATCTTGTTCAAAGTCTAATTGGATGTGCACTCCTCCTTGGGAGTTGGTGCTAGCCATCCAAAGGGAGGCCGACACCCCCCATATGCACTCGGCTAGGGCTAGGTTGGCTGTGGCCCTTCTCTGGTCCCCATTGGGCCCACCACTACCAGGCCCATTTGGACCCATGACAAGTTTGTAGTTCACCTCAAGTCCTTGAATATAGATCCCTTGATGAAGCCCATTTAGTGTCTGCATGTATCATAAATGTAGTGTTTGTGTCCTTTTGTTTTATTTAAGCTTATAAAAGATTGAATTTATTAATGTGGTATTGTTGCTTTTTTGTTTTGGTCGACATGTCATTGTTTCAATAATTTATTGAAGGGTGCTAACTTATCTGTATTTGGTCATCCATATTGAGTATAATACAAAAAATAACCTGATATTGCATTAGATGTTCTTACGATGAACTAAAATTTGTTATTATGCTTATTTTATCTCAGCATAATACATAAACCCATATTACTTGTCACATAAGTTCATTATGCTTCTATATACATTTTTGTCAGAAGGGCGGGCCTGGTGCAAGCGGTAGAGTCTTACCGCCTATGACCGGAAGGTCCCGGGTTCGAGTCGTGGTCTTCTCGTATTGCACAGGCGAGGGTAAGACTTGCCACTGACACCCTTTCCCAGACCCCGCACAGAGCGGGAGCTCTCTACACTGGGTACACCCTTTTTTTAATACATTTTTTGTCACAGATGTGGAATGTGCAATGGTAATGGAATGTCACCTTGTATAGCATGTGGATCTCACGTGGCTTGGTGACATGCAATACATGTACTGGATATGGTTCCCTCCTTGCACAAAGCATAGCTCATGTTCAATGGTAATCTTGAGCCTATTTTTCTAAGTTTTTATATTGGTTTCTGTTTCTAAGTTGAGGAAATTGTTGAACAACAGAAAAAAAGCCAAAACATCTTAATGTGAAAATTGATGTTTAGTTTGGTAATTTAAAAAATCATTCTTATCGTTTAATAATCATGCAAACTTCTGGGGTAACAAACCTGTAGCAAGCAGTTAGGAAGCTGCAGATATTGTCAGCTGATGCTTTCTTTGTGAATATATGTTTGTGTTACATCATAAAATATAATTTATTGAGAGTTTGAGACCCATTGGTGTTGAAGACTTTGAGGCAACAAAATCGTTAGTCTTCCCATGCTCTATAACATGTCAAGCAATGTCAAATACCAACAGATATTAACTGCAGAAAGATGCATGTGCACAATCTGGGAGATTCAGTTAGAGAATTCCCAGTTGTCAGTTGCACTCAGGTTGTTATCACTTAGCATGGATTATCCTTTTGTATATTTATTTTATTTTATTTAATGGTTTCAAGAAACTACTTCACATTGCTGTTACAGTAATCGCCTGATATATTGATCCAACTCGAACTATTCTGTTTCCAGGAAGACGCTTTCAGCTAGAAAAGTCAGTGCAACTAGAGGGGCTGCCTCGGTCCCTGAAGAAGTTTTCCACAGAGCCAAAGGAGTGCAGCTATGCAAAATACAGGCATATCAGTGCACTCCTGCATTTTTTGCCGATTCATACCCACTCAACCAGTTTTCCTCAGAAGTCATCGCTAGCCGGCTGCCAGTTCCACCATCTGCAAGGGTTATTTCCGAGAGACACATCATTTCAGTTGTGCCTGTAACCCGTGTCACAATGGCCCATCGCAAGAAAGCATTTAGCTTCTATGTTGTCGGCTACAGCAGGGATGTGTTCTTAAGGGACTATCCTTCAAAGTTTTGCTGGGGCCTCTGTTGCTGCTTCGAGTGGCTGGGGAAATAGTTATTTCCTGGCACGAATAATGAATGTCTTCTTTCAGTGTACATTGTTTCATGGTAGAGAAGGTGGCGTGAAAGGATATCTCTGAGTATTACAGTATTAGAATCTGCATATTGGATTTCCTGGGTACAAGTACATCACTGTATATATTGTTCAGTGAAAAATAAAAATGGCGACGTTTGGCCATTGCAGATGTGTATAGTGTTTTGAAATGGTTTGTGATCAGTCTAGACATGTACGGTGTGGTATCATTTTCTTCACTATTAGCCCTGGATACGTTTGCTTAATTGCTTTTTCTAGTAAATGCATATATTGTCGTTGAACATGTGCTTGTGTTGCTGGAAACAGTGGTGTTGTGATGATCAGATATGCGTGAATACAGCATATAGATTCTTTATATGAGTCAATGAGTGGAATACTAGTCTGGGTGTTTGATGGATTTTTTACACTATACAAATGTGTATATCTGCCGTTGACACGGCCAACGTGGCGAGCTGGTTGATGGGTCAAATGAGGCATAACTCAGCCCAATCTTAACAATGTATTCGAAAATGTTTCAATCTTTGACCAACAACGGCCAACGTGGCGAGCTGGTTGATGGGTCAAATGAGGCATAACTCAGCCCAATCTTAACAATGTATTCGAAAATGTTTCAATCTTTGACCAAATTTGTCTGAGAATTGATCCAAAATGGATTCATCAGTTTTCATCTTCGAAAAAGAAAAATCCTTCAAACTGGATGAATTTATAGTATGAGCAGTCAGTTTTCAGCAGTGACATCTTAACGAAATTTTCACCGCTGAAAACTGATTAAAATTAGAACAATTTAGTGTAACAGCTCATGAACAAGCACGTCATCTAAGCCCAATCAAATATTTGTAGGCACAAGGAAAAGGGGCCTCACTGTGTGGAGGTGATCGGAGCACAATCTCAGTGGACGAGGAGCGGAGGAGGTCGGCGAGGTCATCGATCGGTGATGAAGATGGTGGCTGGGATTCAGTTTTGATGTCGATCGGTGATGAAGATGGTGGCCGGGATTGGGCTTTAATTCGCTACGGCTGAGCCGCGTGCTTGTCTCCTTTGCCATTGGTACACGGCCACGCCTAGCCATCCACATTGTTGGACTCTAAGAGCATCTCTAAGAGTCTTTCTAAAATTCACTCCCTCAATCATCATTTGCAGAACTATTTACATAAAAAATTGTTTTATATATCTTTTTACTGTCCAATAATTTTTCTATATCTTGTGTGCACTCTAAAGAGTCATTCTCGATTTCTATCTTTGGCTAGCGAGAAATTCAGAATAAAATATAGCTATATTTAGATAACCAAATAAAGAAGTTGTTGGAGGGTATTTTTTCATCAAAATATCTATTTTTAGTAATAAGAAAGAATATATAGAGTCTTTTGAAGTTGCTCCACGATATAGGAGGCCGCACTAGCGCAGCAAAATCTTTACTTGATACACGTGTGCCGCCAACACTAGCAACATCCATACATTTGTCCACGCAGGAGTGGAGGAGAGACGATGCCGGTGTCGAGGAAAAAAACAATGTGCGCCGACGAGGTTAGGGTTTGGGTTGGAGCTTGGGGAACCTCTTATATCCTTCGAGCTTAGAAAGAAAGAAAGACCTAAGGCAATGGGTGTCTCGGCGATGGTGTTTGGAGGAGCGGTGAGCGAGGGGATGGCGTTGCCGCTGAGCGCGCGACGAGGACCGAGTTTGTTTTGGTAATTGAGTAACATCTAGCGGACTAATACTCTCAATGAGTTGTGATTGAGCTAGGGTCCAGGTGAAGATGGTGAGTAAGGCTAGGAGATGGTAGATATGTTGATCAAGTCATATGGAGGAAAGCTCACACTTAGAGAAGAAGAGGGAGATGAAAATAAGCTCGAAGACAAAGGTATAAGCTATGGGTTTTATTTCACCGGTCGAATGTATTTTCTTCTTTAATGCTATAGCTCTAGTTTGATATAGAATCCATTTATCAAAGTAAAGGAAACCATTCTCTTCTAGGAAATGGCTCGAAAATCTCTATTCCACCTTTTAGATGATACCTATGAAGATCGTGCATTTTAGTCACATTCAGATCCATTTTTCGAGTCCATGATATAACCAAATTACAGCCTGTTCGCTTGCTCGTAAACGATCGTAAATTTCCAGCCGGGAACAGTGTTTTTCTCTCACACCAAACCAGCCAGCAGTAAATAATCCACGATACAATACGGCCTCTCGAACAGGCTGTTAGATGGATCTTCCACTCATTTAGCTAAGAAAGAATAGATGCAGAGGTGGACACTAGATCAATATGAAGATCATAAGTTGCCCCATAATGAAACCGCTAGTAGTCGTGAATATCAGGGGAACTCTAAAGCAAAAACGGCTATCTAGTGCCACTAGGTTTGAACTAACTTTGCATATGCATTGGACCTAGTGACGTTCTGAAGAAGCAAGTGAAAATGCTTTAAAAAATATTTTTGAAAAGCTAACTCGGTGCCGAAGGTGAATGTGTTCATATTAGAATACACATTGGAGTTAGTAAATTTGAAACGGAATTCCTAGCGCCCTGACGTCTGGCGTGCGAGATGTGTCCGAACGCCGCTCCCGTTCCCAAACCCGCCCGCCCCGCAAACGCGAATAGAATAGAATCAGAATAGAATTGTGTCCACCACACCCCTGTCCGCATTCCCCACCGTGCCCCTATCCCAAGAGCATGAAACACTTCAAAAGTGCAACATCGGAAAAAAAATATGTAAACTATATAGTGCAACATCGGAATATAAAATCTGCAACATCGCAAAACCATATAGTGCAACATAAAAAATTATGTACTACAACATAGAAAATTATGTACTGCAACATTCAAAAATTATGTAATGCAACATCTCAAGCAGTAGTACTGCAACATCGCAAAATCAACCATGAAACATAGAAATGGAAACAACTCAATAATCACCTTTTATTGCTGCAATATTTGAAAAAGGTAATTTCAACAATTAATATCCCCTACTGCAACAATCCAAACATTAGAATTCCCTTTCTGCAATACATAAATCACCCTATTGCAACATTCAAAAATCATCTGTTGCAACATCCAAAAAATCACAACATGGAGAAATAGTCAAAAGGCATACAAAACAGCAAAGGGGAAGGGTTCAAGGTGCAGGCTACTCCAGCCCCTGGCCCATCACCTTCAAGCTCGCTGGAGGAAGGAGGGAATAGGACCCCAGAGCTCGCCGAAACCCTAGCCCCTGGCCTATCACCTTCAGATCCAGAGGAGGAGGAGGAGGAGATCCAGAGGAGGAGGAGGGCTCAGATCCAGAGAAGGACCGACCTACATCGTCGGAGCCATAGCCGTCATCCTTGTCTCTGGTGGGGGAGCAGGATCGGGTCACTGGGGAGCCTCAATGGAGGTTGCGGAGGGGTGAGGGAGGGAGGGAGGGAGCATAGGGGTGGGGCGCGTGGCGCGGCATCCATCCCAGGGGTGCTGCAGGCCTAGAGAGCGGCGGCGGAGTGGTAGCGAGTGGGCGCGGGGGAGCGGGCGGGCGGAGAGGCAGCGAGTGGCGCGAGGGAGGGAGGGGTCACGGGATGGGATAAGGAGTGTCCATGGCCAGACATGAGTTGAGGACAGACATCCTAATAGAATCATTATCGAATTTGAAGAGTTCATGAGAAATGGGACATAGTGCAGCTTCATTGCACATTTACACTGATCGGAAATGTTCGGTGCCCCCACTAGGGAGGTCATGGGAATATAGCATGAGCAGATAGGTTTAAACTGAGCCTAGGGTATTGCCACCGGAATTGGGGTGGTTCACTGGAAGAACTGGCTTGAGAAGTCGTGCATGGGATATTTGAACTTAGGCATTGGAGTTCCAATGGGTGGCCATCCGAGTTTTCTAGTGACACCCCTGGAACTCATGTTGTAGCCACCCGAGAGGGTCGAGGGCTCACCAAATTTATCTGGTGACCCTCACAGGAGAACACTGGAGCTTAACACATATAGTTGTTGGAATCTCCAATGGCTAGTTGACTGAGATCGAGGCTCTAAGGAGCCACTAAAATTGCCTAGTGGTGAACTCAACAACCGCACCATAGAAAGCGGCCAAGGGCAGATCTTCAAATGAAATTTTGACTATTGGATCTTCATACAAGATCCTCTAGTGCTGCTTCTACGGGGGTCACCAGAGATTTTCGGTGACCCCAAAAATAGCAAAATCAGAGCAACACAACAGCTAGTTTTTTTGGAGGCTTAAAAATAGGGGATGGTTTGTCCTTTGGGTCTTCCCTTGGCATTCCAACTGATACACCATTGTGGGGGTCCAACCTCGAGTACCCACGGCACAAGACATGGGCCGCACTGCAAGGGACGGTCCAGCCCACATGATGAAGACTTGCAGCTCACAACACTTCTCGAGTGCACGCCGCAAGGCACCCTGGCGATATCCTAAAGATAGCATAGGATCTCCTAGGATATGCTAAATGTTAGATTCCTTGTAAAGATTATCTCTTACGCGATTAAACTTAGACCTTATCGGCATGTAACTCTACCCCCAGGCTATATAAGGCAGGTATGGGACCCCCTCAAAACACATTCAATCATTACGATAGCCACTACAAACGAATAGGACACAAGATTAGGGTTTTATGTCGCGCTGACGGCTGAACCTATCTAAACTCGTGTCTCTGTTTGCCATCTCGTTCCTGTTCACGCGCACCCCTTCGTACAATCTACCATCATGGGCATACCTCTTGGTGGACTACCGATGATATTCTGTCAATAGTTGGCACGCTAGGTAGGGCTGTGCGTGTCGTTCCCATGACGAACCAGATGGTGTGTCTTCCAAGCTCTTTGTTCTCCTCCAAGCCCGGCCAATCCTTTACGGTCAGATCTGTCTCCTGGGTCATCAATGCCAACGGTGATGGGGAGATCATCGAGCTGATGCAGGGTAATCCTACGCTGATCATGCCATCACCTACGTTAGCAAATCCAATCCTAGAACCT